GGCTATTTTTTGGTTGCAGCCGTCATTGTTGTTTGGCGGTCTGGGCTGGGGATTCGAACCCGCCACCTTAGGTGTACGTGGCTGGCACCTTAGCCGGTTGAGCTATAGGCGCCGAGCCTAGCTTGTACATTATTAAAGATAATGCAAATTAGTACAAACCTCTGTGGAGAAGCATTTGGTATTACCTATTAAAAATTGAAATTTAGTTTCTCTCACTTCTCATTAATGAGAGGGACAGACTTCAGCAATCTTTGGAGGTACTCTAAGTTTTCTCTTTGTTCTTAAATAAAATTTCTGCTTCTCTCTTTTTTTTTTTTTTGGAGACAGAGTCTCACTTTGTCACCCTTGGTAGAGTGCCATGGTGTCAAAGCTCACAGCAACCTTAAACTCTTGGGCTCAAGTGATCTTCTTCCCTCAGCCCAGCCTCCCAAGTAGCTGGGACTATAGGCACCAGCCACAACACCCCACTATTTTTAGAGACAGGGGTCTTGCTCTTGCTCAGGCTTGAAAATTACTTTGTTAAAAAAAAATTAGAATTTACATACTCAGTAACCCAACAATTCCACTTCCAGAATTTTCTTAATGCCATATGTGTGCAAAGTATCACAGGATATTTGCTGGAACACTTAGTTACATAGAAATGAAACTGACAGCTAGGTGTGGTGGCACAGACACCTGTAGTCCTGGCCACTTGGGAGGCTGAGACAGAAGAATTCCTTGAGCTCAGGAATTTGAGGTTAGCCTGGCAACACGGCAACACCTCTTCAAGAGAAAAGAAGAAAATGAAACAGAAGACACTGAGGAGGTGTCCAACACAGCCAGGTAGGATAGAAGGTGTGGGCAACCTGGGGTCCGCTACATGCAGCTGGCACCTGAAGTGGGGGGCAGTCTCAGTGTGCTGAGCCTTGACCTGCAGGGTCTGTACTAACTCCAGGTGGTCAGTGTCAGAACTGACTTAAACTGTAGGACCTCTAGTTAGTGTCCACAAAGACTTGCTTGGTGTAAAAAGCTCAAACATTTGGTGTCAGAAGTATTTTCAATATAGAGAAACACAGTCCTCTTAGCCTATAATCCCAAAAGTAAAAGTACCAGACAAAAACATAAACACTAACTTTAAAAAGTTTAAATTTAATTCATTCCAGAATTATGGAATTCATAATTTAATTAAATTTAATTCATTCCAAATTATGTTGTTAATTTAGAAACAACATAAACATAAAACCACCATGCGGTATTATACAATTTCATGAGTCATCACAACAGTTCACACAAACAGATACACAAAAACCGAGAAACGTAAAATGTGCACAGATGAAAAGAAATGAAGCCCTCCCAGCACAGCCGTGAGCCAAGCAAGCCAAAACGTGCACGACTCAATCAGAAAGAACACAGCCGGGCTCAAAGCCTGCCTTCCCAGTGACCCACGTATCAAGACCAAGCTTCCAAATAACTTTAAATTTACAACAGAACGCTTATAACATATTAACTCTCTCTGTATGTATGTGTATATTACTTAACACACACATAAATCTATATCCACATAAGGCAGACACATACACACACGCACTGTAAAAGTAACTAACTGGGACAGCTCCAGAGGCCGGGGTTCCTACATACGCAACCCAAACCATACTCAATAAAAAGAGTAAAATGAAATTTATTAAAATAGTCTTTTACTTCAAAGATTGTAAATTGAGTTTCTAAAACTTTACCCTTTTTTTTTTTTAATTTTTGAGACAAAGTATGACTCTGTCACCCCTGGTAGAGTGCCATGGTGTCAGCTCACCGTAACCTCAAACTCTTGGGCTCAAGTTATCCTGTTGCCTCAGCCTCCTGAGTAGCTGGGACTGAAGGAACTCACCACAACGCTCGGCTATTTTTTAAAGACGGGGTCTCACTCTTGCTCACAGTAGTCTCAAACTCATCAGTTCAAGCAATCCACCTGCCTCAGAGTGCTAGAATGACAAACGCAAGCCACTGTGCCCAGTCCTGTTTTTTTCTTTTTCAGAGACAAGGTCTTATTCTGTTGCCCAGACTGGACTGCAGTGGCATGACCACAGCCCACTGCAGCCCTGAACTCCTGGGCTCAAGTAATCCTCCTGCTTCAGCTTCCCAAGCAGCTGTGACTATAGGCATGTGCCACCACACCCAGCTAATTTTTTAATTATTCACAGAGATGAAGTCTCACTATGTTGCCCAGGCTGGTCTTAACGTCCTAAGCTCAAGTGATCCTCCCACTCAGCCTCCCAAAGTGCTTGGGATTGCAGGCCTGAGCCGCCGCCACCCCAGGCCAAACTGCCATTTTAACTCAACACTGTTTCTGCGATCTGTCCGTGCTGTAAGACATCTAAATCCTCTTCACGGTTACATACTATTCAACTGTATGACAACCATAAATTGTATTTTATCCATTTCTCCAAAAGATAGCTATCTAGGTGGTTTCCAGCATCTTGCTTTATCGAAGTACTGCACATTATAGGAGCTAACAAACAGTGCTTACTATGAGTCAGACGCTATTCTATTAATTTATATGAATAATCTGCTCCATCTATAGATAGTTACTACCATTATGCATATTCTTACATGGGTGGAAACAGAGGTACACAGAAGTTAAATAACCTGTCCAAGGTTACACCGCCAGTAAAAGAGTGAAGTCAGAATTTGAATCAGGTCGTCTGTCTCCAAAGACTGTGCTTTTATCTCCTCATACGATATGCCAGAGTGAACCAGAAACTTCACTTCTAGGTTGTAAGACATGAGCCAGTTTTAACAGATAACAGGCACTGCTTTCCAAATGGCTCAAAATGAAAACTACCACCTGAAATGTATGATCTGTTAATATGTTCTAATACCTGAAATCATAAGATAGTTTTCAGTTTTTGCCATTTAAATCATAGGTGAAAGTAGCATTCTCATTTTAACGTGCATGTTTCATTCCGAAGGATAAAGGATTTTCTCCCTATATGTTGGCCAGTGAAATTTTCTTTCCTCTGAATCGTCAGTTCCTATCAATTTTTTGATTAAGTTTTTGTAGAAATTTCTGAATATCAATCCTGTCTTATGTGGTATTTCTTCTCCCATACTGCTGCTTGCTTTTTAACGTGTTCACAGTTTGTTCTGTAGCATAAGTTTTAAATTTTGATCCCGTTATAAATTTATCTTTTACTTTGTGATATCTCATTATGGTATACGTAAGAACTTAAAATGTAATTTTATACCCTGCAAAAGGTTAACAATTTATTCTCAATGGAAACATGATTGTATCGGTTTTCCCCAACATCTCGTTATAAACACTTATGAGGGTTTATACGTCTCTGATCACCAGGGAGGTTACTGTAATCTCTCACAGACGCTGCCATTTCGCCTCCTGAACTGTTTCTTCACGTGTATCAACTCTCAAAATACGGACATGCTGCACTTTTATGCAGTTACATGTTCTCATCTTTTCCTTAGTCAATTCTGAGCTCTACAAGGTGCCTAATACCGTCTCTACCCTAAGAATAAAATATTTTACATATATTTGTGGTACGTTAATACAGTTTTGTCTTAGAACTTTAATTCATCTGTAAGTTATTTTCATGTAAGATATGAGACAGGGATATGATTCTGATTTTATCTAAATGCACAGGCAACTGTTCCAAGCCATTATTTGATTAATCCATCTTTTTGATAAAAGTGTGACATGTTTTTTTCATCAAATATTGTCCTCTAATCACATATCATTAGTTTCTCACAAATAATGATGACCCCTTTTTAAGTCTTTAGTAATTTCTGTACCAGTTCTACATAATTATTAAGGTTAGTAGTGTGTTTTCAATTTCAGAAGGCAAACCCTTATACTATTACTCTTCCCTTTCAAACATTTCTTTCCATTATTTCATTATCAAGAATAAAAAATGCTTTCTGTAAAACAGGAATAATCTTAGATCAAAGCCTCAACTGAAAGAAAATACACATACATACAATTATAAAACTATCATGCTATCTTATTCATTTACCCTTTCCTAGAAGAACAAGTAACAATTAACATTTGCATGACCTTCAACTTACAAAGCACTTTCACATTCATTATGGAAGAATGATACTTTGTCAAAGAAAATAATCCACTCATTTTAATATCTGTAAATATATTCCAACTGAGCCTACTATTTCATTGCCAAAATATAGTTTAAAATGCTGATGTTTCAGCAATCAAAGCTTTTCTAAATAAAACAGCAATTCACTTATGTTGCACCATGAATGCAGATTAAGTAGCAAATGAAAAGCACAATCGTGTAGCTATGACGTATTATAATGTACCATTTATTACTCAGAATATGTCCACTTGGGGGACAAAATAAAACTTAACAGAAAATCAACTCCACTCGTTCAGATGTTTATGAAACAAAAATTTGTCATCCACTTTGTTGTAAATTTCATAAGTTTGACTTATGGGACTTTATCTAAAAAGACACCCAAACTTACATTTTTCACTATAGATGATCTGGACCACTGGATTTGGACCATCATTCTGTGGCACCGGATCAATATCAGCCCATTCTGCTCTGTCTCTGAAAATACATATTTCCCCTTAGTGGTTACATTCAAATACATAAGAAGAAAAATAACTCTGGTGTTTTTAAAACTGCAACAATTACATTTATGTTAATACTAGTAACATAGAGATCTTAATGTAATCAAAGTCAGTTTCCACATTAAACTTTTAAAGTAAAATTAAATATAGTAATTTATAGGGTGACGCCTGTGGCTCAGTGAGTAGGGCACTGCCCCATATACCAAGGGTGGCAGGTTCAAACCCGGCCCTGGCCAAACTGCAACAAAAAATAGCCAGGCATTGTGTAGTTCCAGCTACTCAGGAGGCTAAAGCAAGAGAATGGCCTAAGCCCAAGAGCTGGGGGTTGCTGTGAGCTGTGATGCCACAGCACTCTACTGAGGGCAACGGACTGAGACTCTGTCTCAAAAAAATAATAATAAAATAATTTACAGATTAAAACTGAATAAAGCAACAGTTTTCAAATTTGATGTTTTGTAAGTGGAAAACATGTTTTTGCAACAAACACACAACAGCCTTAACTTAGAAATCAATCTAATTCACTGGACTAGTAAGACTCTGGAGTCAGTCAACACTGAGCCCCAGTCCAAAACACGGGGAGTCTAAAGTCCACAGTGGAAACCCCCAACCTTTCCTCCTCCATACTACATAGTTCACAAAGTCAGGTCAGGTCTGCAAAACTCTGGCTGCAGCAGGCAGCAAGATGGCTGTTTGTTTGTTGTTATTAATTATGCTGCCAATAAGAAAGAACATAAGATGCTTTTAAATTTTTTTTGCCTTTAAATTCTTACCATTTTCATGCTTCCCTCCCTTTTTGTTTGTTTGCAATAAACATAAGTTCTGTGTTAAAAAAAAAATCTGAATAAAAATATACTAGGAACTGACATGTTTAAATAAAAGTAAGCATGATTCCCTTACTCTGTACGAGAGAGGTGGCCCAAGCAGTCATTAATGAGAAAGCAAGCTCTGGAACTGGACAACTGCCTGAGGTGAAACACTGGCTTCTATCACTACCAGCTGTGCGACCTTGAGAAAGTTACTTAAACTTTGTGTGCCTCACTTTCTTCATTTATAAAATGAGGATGATAATGTTACCCAGCAATCTTAGAAGGCTGTTCTGAGAACTAAATGAAATTAACATGTTAAGCACTTAAAAACATCCATACCACAGTAAAACACAGCATCAGTGAATACTACTTGTAGTAAGTGCTAAAACAGCAGGAAGAGTAGCCACAATGATCAGCGTGACCAAATACATTTTAAACACTTACACTCTTTCCCTTGCCCCTACTCTTTACTTTTCTATCCTGATCAGCTATTTACAGAGATGCAGTGGCAGCCAGACAACCCTGAAACTGTGTCCTTTAAGCACTAAGAAATAGAAGAAAGGATGGGGCCGGGCTTGGGCAAGCTAAGGGTGGCAGTTCGTCCACGGGAAATCAGGCAGCCCTGTGCAGAGCCTGAATATTTCACAATCCAGAGAAGAGGTGTGGGGTTACCGGGGCCACCACAACCGAATCAATAAAACATTTGCTCCAATAAATAAAAATCTAGATAGTGACGTCCATTCATAAAATCAAGGCAAATAGGCTGTCTAATGGGTTTGCTCAGAAGGACAGAAGTTAAGGGATAAGGCGATTGTCTAGGGTCACTGGAAACTAGGGAATCAGCAAAGAACTGAGGATGGAACTGGGTGTTGGCAAATAAGACGATCAGACAAGAGTTACAGCAGTGCCTACTACACATCGTGTTACGTAGGAGGCGAGGCAGGGACGCCTAGGAGAGTTTAGCAAATCTTCTTTCACTCTTTTAGCCTGGCTAATAACAGGAGCTAAAATATTGACTGAATGGAAATGTTTCAGTCCTTAAAGATCTTAAAGCAGCTCTCTCCGTTTCAGAAGAACGGCCCACGGGAAGCCCCGACCCCTCGCTTTTATACTGAGCAAATCTGGTCCTTCTTGAAATCATTATTTCCTGCCAACCAATCCAAACGGCCCTCTACCCCGTGTGTGATCAGTGTTCGGCCTGATTACTACCAGGATAGCGTTGTGGGACCACGGAAAAGAAGGAAATTCCTTACAGTTATGAAAACCACGACTCCCAACAGCCTGAGGAGTCCGTCCAGCGTGTCGCGGCCGCTCACCGCGGCGGGAAGCCGCAGAGGCACCGCTGGCTGCCCGGGGCCCGCAGCCCCCGGCTGGGCGCGCCTCCTTCCCTCCCTCCCTCCCGGCCGGACACCTCGGCGGACACCAGAGACCCGAGGCCAGGCCGCGGGCGCCGCGGGGGCGTTACCTGTACAGGACATAGGTGGGCGAGTCCAGGCTCAGGAACCCGTCGTCCATGGGGGACGCCACCGCTTCTCCGGCCTCGGCCGCCATCGCCTCTTCCTGCTGCTGCTGGAGCGGCGGTGGGTGCGGCTGGGGCGGCGGCTGTTCTGGCTGACCGGGCTCGCCGCCTGGCGCAGCCTCCCCGACTCCCTCGGTGGCAGCCATCTCGCCGCGGCCCGCAGCGGAGGAGGAGACGGAGGCCCCGTCCCCGCGGGCCCGCCCCCACCCTGCCCCCTCCACGCTCCACTTCCGGTTTCCCGCTTCCTGCCATAGAGAAGCGTGCTAGAGAGTCCGGCGGAGAGCGAGCGGGCGGGCTAGAGAGTCCGACGGAGAGCGGGCGGGCGGGCTAGAGAGTCCGACGGAGAGCGGGCGGGCGGGCTAGAGTCCGGGCGGCCAGCGAGTGGGAGGGCTAGAGAGTCCGGGCGGCCAGCGAGTGGGCGGGCTAGAGCGCCCCGGGGGCGGAAGGAGTCGGGCGCTGGGCCCAGGGACAGGTGCGAGTGCTGGGCGGCCGACCTACGAGACTGGACCGCGGGGCTCCAGACTTCCGGGAGGGCTTCCCACCGCCGGGCCTTCCCGAAGACGTGCAGAAGTCCCTCGGAGCTGTGTTAGTGCTGTGATGGCGATCCTGTTTGGACAGAGCTGTGGCTGAGCTCGGCCGCCCTAGACCCAACCCCGCCCCTTGCCCCTACTCGAGGGAGCTGCCTGCAGCGTCCACTTTCACCTTTTAAGGGCTTTTATGTCCTTGCACACGTTTGGATGCTAAAGCGAATTTCAGTAACCCAATCAGTTAAGATTTTTAGATTTTACAAATAATACATGTACACGTTAAAGGAAAGGGGAATGTTTTTTTCTTTTCAGAACCAGGTCTCTCTCTTGCTCAGGCTCTTCTTGAACTCCTGAGCTCAAGCGATCCACCCTGGACCTCCCAGAGTGCTGGGATTACAGGTGTGAGCCAATTCCTTCCTGCATGTTATTGAAACACGTTTATCTAACAAGTATTTACTGGCCACCTACTGTGTGCCAGCCGTACTCACAGCAGTTTTTTAAAAAAAGGCTCCCTGGTCACAGATTGCCTTCTAGATTGTTGTAGATAATAGCTCTGATATTATCTGGGGCAGGAGGATCCCTTGAGCCCAGGAGTTTGAGAGTTGCTGTGAGCTCTGACGCCATAGCACTCTAGCCTGGGCGACAGTGACACTGTCTTAAAAAATAAATAAACAAAAAATCAAGGACATAATTTTTTTATTGTTGTTGAGACAAAGTCTCACTTTGTCACTCTCGGTAGAGTGCTGTGTCATCACTGCTCACAGCAACCTCAAACTCCTGGGCTTAAGTGTTTCTCTTGCCTGAGCCTCCCAAGTACCTGGGACCACAGGCGCCCGGCTATCTTTTGTTGCAGTTGTCATTGTTTAGCTGGCCCGGGCCAGGTTGGAACCCCCCAGTCTTGGTGCATGTGGCTGGTGCTATAACCGCTGTACCGAGCCAGGGACATAACCTTTAAATTGATAGGACGCTGTGGCAAGTGCCAAAGGCAAGAGGAAGAATACAATCAGAAAATTATTAAATGTGTTTGTCACAGTTTAAGAACAGAAAGAAAAACTCTAAGCTGAATTTTTATACAAGTCTTTATTTACAACTTGTTTAACAACTGTACACTTTTTGTAGCCTTGAAAACATTTTTGTACTTGAATGGGAAAATATAGTTTGACCAAATCTGAACTTTATTCTTCATATACATATACATATATTATATGCATACATATAAACACATACATATAATTAATACCACAAGTTGGCAGTCATAAAATTAAAATGAATAAGTGATATCAAAAGGAAATGTAAGATTTCAGAAAACTAAAAATCCATTTTCTTGTGGTTTTTTGGACTTTGTTTTTGTGAATTTAGTTAAAATTTCTTACTAAGGCTCTTAAATCATTTACCTCAGAAAAACAGTGAGAAAATCCACCAGTCTCAACACAGAGTAAATGGTTGGTAAACTCAGTAAACAGGTAGAAAAAAGCTTGGACACCATTATGTACAATGTTGCTAAATCTGAGTTATATGTCATTTTGTGAAGTGAGAAATGTCCCATGTGGACATCATTTTTGGGTTATAATGACAAAAGAATGAAATTGTAAATTTAATAGTCAACCAGAAGTAAGAATATTCCTAGCAATATCCTTTTTGCAAAGACTAAAATGCAAGGAGGAAAAGTGCGGTGTCAAATATGAAACTAACAACGATCCACAGAACAATCTATAATACTTAAGACATGAGTATAATAAGGCTTTAGAGCTGAGGCCGCAATTAATACAACCCCAGCTCAAATGGACTAAGCTGTTTTCCAGCTCGTATGAAAAGTTAAAAAAATACCATAGGGGGGAAAAATGTCTCTTTTCTGTCCCCAAATTTTTGATAAAATTTACTAAAGAAAATAAGGCAAATTATTGAATTATCAGATACGCATGAATTTTACTGTTCATTACACAATCAAAAATCGGTTGTTATAAATGGTGAGCAATTGTTGAAACATAAAATTGCCAAAGAAGACACGCCTGGAAATTATTTTCTAAGCACAAAGCATTCTGAATTATGCAGAACTTGTACAGCAGAGCTTGTGACAGCCATGACATTTTAGTGCATTTGAATTATAAATAACGACAGCTATTAAAAAAACTTAAAAGACTACTGTTAAAAAATTAAAAGGTCCCAAATCATTGATTGACATCTGTGTATGGTCATTTCTTGTATTTGTAGTAAAATGCTATTTCTTAGCGTATTAAAAATTTCCCTTATTAGGACTCTCTGGAGAACGCACTAAATTAGGCCACCAGGAAAATAATAAACTGAAGTCACACCATTTACTTATCTGTCCTTGAACTAAAATAAGAATTTCATCCTAACTTACTTGGAATTTGACCCTACTAGACCAAGTCTGTTAATTAATTATAAACATTTTTTTTTTTTTTTTTGCAGTTTTTGGCCAGGGCTGGGTTTAAACCCACCACCCTCCAGCATGTGGGGCCGGTGCCCTACTCCCTCCTTTGAGCCACAGGCACCGTCCCTTAATTATAAACATTTTAAAAGGAAGAAGAAAGCATTAAGACTTCCTGCCAGGACAATTTTTAACCAAGCACCAAGCTGACTCAAAAAATTATGATCAGTCCCTTATTTTCATTAAAAGATTCAAAAACTGTGAGCTAGGACACAGTGGCACTTTACCCAGGACATAGAATGAGACTCTATCTCAAAAAAAAAAAAAAAAAAATTCTAAGACATGCCACTATAGAGCCTTATAGTTATGTTAACACTCTACAGGTGAAGTACTATAAATTAATAAATAATGTTTTGCTATTTATTTATTTCACTATTTACTGGAATAGTAAATGTTTACTTCATACATAAATCTAATCTGATTCATAATCCAAGTTAATAAGAGCAGTAAGCTCTGAAAAAAAACAAATTATTTGCGTTTTGATGCACCTTTCAGGTGGAAAATGGCCAAATGTGACTTTGGGAGAAATGTTTAAGAAACAAAAGCAAACAGAAACCTTTTACCAATTTTCATTAGATCTAAATAGATTTAATAGTAGAAGAAAGAATATGCCAAAGTTTATCGATGTTTATTTGAAGGTCAATTAGGCATTTATACCAGTCTGCTTGCTGCTAGACAACCAGGTATCATCAATGTAAAAGGAATATATAAAGAAGGAAAAGTACACTGAAGATATTAAAATGATTTACAAAATGATATAATCACATCACTTGACAAATAAAGTACTATGAATCTGTTTTTTAAAAAGAATATATTAAAAACTAGCTTAAACAAATGGGATTTTGATTTTTCCAAGGTATTTAAAAAAGGTTGGAATTAATCCCCATAAGAAAAAATCTTCTTTGACTGTGGTGGTAAAATCTAAGAGTTGTCATAAGTTAATTCCCTGCCTTTATTCTGTCCTCATTTTCTCTCTGGGCATTACAAGTGCTGTCAAATAGCATTTTTTAGGCTGGTGGAAATGTTCTGTGTTGGCTGACAGGTGACCACTATTCACACGTGACTACTGAGCACTTGAAGTGTGGTTAGGGGACTGAGAAACTCAAGTTTTCATTTTAGTTAATTTTAATTAATTCTTATTTAAATTGCTACATGTGGCTAGGGGTTACTGTATTGATCTGCTACATAATTTTATCTAGAGTAACAAGACAATGGAAGTTAAGACACTTAAGAGACTAATCTATTCAAAAATTAATAGGAAATATTCAGAACATGGTATTGTGTCCTCATGCATCTGTCTGTGTGTTTAATTCGTCATTTTTGACTTTGGGGGAAACACAGGTAGTGCTTTCCCTCAAAGGTCAGAATCAAGACATCTCTACTTCAATGCTCCTTTCCTGTAGGTGACCTGCCTGAACAAAACACCCCAGGAAGGACAGGGAGTGATGCTGATGATGGAAACAGCACTCTGAGAGCTGCTGCTCATCTAAACCCAAAACGGCTCTGAGAGAAGGTTCTTGTGCTCAAATCTCCCTGTTCTTTGGCAGGAGTTGTGTCCATATTACATAACCACAAAAGTTCAGTACATTTGGACTATGACTTGACTATTAATATATTCAGGCTACAAATGGTAGAGTCCTGGCTCCTCAAACAAATAAACAAAAAAATCCCCCTCAGTAGAACAAGCTGAAAACTTTGCTACGTATCACTTAAGAAGAGGACCGAGTCCATGCAGCCTGTCTGTTAGAGCACAGCTGAGAACGTTTCTGTAGCATTTCACGTTCCCTGACTTGCTGGCTCCCCTGCTGTCTTTTTCCTCCCCGTATGGCAATAATGAAGAAATTATTAAGGTCGGGGCCCACTTGCAGGTAAATACCGCTTCTGACTGACCACAGGGCTGTTCCATTTTCATCACTACACGTCCAGAAGACATCAAGTTTCAAGTGTGTTTGCACTTGATGGGATCTGGCTTCACAGTATTCTGTGACTAGTCGTGTTACTGTGATGTGTACAAGGTAGTCCATGCCCAGTAGCCCCATACCAGCCTGAAGCGGACCTCTAGACTTAGAACTTCACACTTCTGGCTCTAAGATATTAATAGGAAATGCCAGAAAGGTAGAGAAGAATTAAAGTAATGATCTAATATTAGTAAAGTGCCATAAAACTTGAAATAAAGTGTACTACATAAATGCTTGTAATAGTAAATAATATTAAG